TTGACACAGTTTTAAAAGATTAACCGGGGATAGAGACTGCTAATTGGCTTTAACTAATGACTCGGTTACATGACGTGTTGTTTTGCCTTTCTGTCTAATCCGCGTTAGGTTTATCAATAATAGAAAAAACAAATAAATAAATAAATCGTTTTTAATGTTGTTCATCTGTCTGAATGGGTGTCTTATTGATAATTTGTTTTCGAAATAAACCTTCGTTTGTAATTACAGGTATTTTGATTTGCAATAGTTTGATGGGTGTTTATTATAGTTTTACATCCCACACAGTACATACATATGCCTGATAAAATATCACCAGTGGTCGATGACGGATCATTTAGCAGCTGAAATTTGATGCAGATTGGGAAAGTGGGTCACTCGGTCGAATGGTGCCTTTATTTTGTAGACGTTCTTGTTTCCGGTATTACTGGCGTCTCTGCCTTCACCCTTCGACGCAGGCGCTCTGAGGCTCCTTACTGCGTTTCACTCTCGGCTAGGTTGCATCAGCTGGAGGGACGCTGAGCGGGGCGTGTCCGCTGTGACATGGCGTGTCGTCATAACGAATACGGTGATCATGTAAGAAGCGAAACCTGAGAGAGAAACAACATTCAAGAATCCTGAAGGGAATGGAGTGAAAACGGAGGCCGGAATTTTGATTTCCAGGAGAGGAAATATTTTTAAAACTTAGTTTTAGGACAAAGGTGGCAAAATCTTGGGGTTTGAGTGTTGATCGTAAATACGCAGTCATGAATACCCTATTCTATGTGCAATAACCCAACTGTATATACATAACACTATTTATTACATATTTACTTTCTTACACCTTTTTGCATATTTGTACATTTTATATATTTTATCTCTGTTAATACTGTTCTTATGTATATAGTGCTGAAGAACTGTTCCCCCCCACCCCACATGTTTGCACTGAGTAGGAGATGCTCTGTATCTCATTGTACAACTGTATAGTGACAATGAAGGCATTCTACTACATTTTATTCTACGAAGCACAGCCAGTCAGCCGCTTTGCTTAGATGGAGCTTCTCCGCCACCTGCCCCTTAACACCAGGGGGTAAGAAGAGGAGGGGGCAACTTAACTGAAGCAGCTGAGGGGTTTAGTGAAGTAAACCTCTGGAATCAATTTACATTTAATACCCACAATTCAAAGCTGAAATTAATTAAGTTTTTTAAATGTTTTCCAGGAAACTCGTGACCTCTCCTGACCTCCTACATGCCAACTTTGATTTGGCATACCTCAGCCTTTTCTCTGTTTCCCTTACTTAAGAAGAACTTCTTCACAGGCACACTTACACTCTGACCATTTCTAATAGTTCAACTTTTTAGTTCTGCAAAATTAATGGGAACAAATGTGTTAAAAGAAAACATGTATGTTATGTATAGGCTCAGCACTGGTTCATCCCTTAAGTGTCTTTTTTATGATAGCTCAGCATTCAAGAATCCCGAAGGGAATGGAGTGAAAACTTTAACAAACAAAAACATTTTTCTGAAATTGTCAGGCAAAAGGACTGGACTGAAAATTAATGAACAAGCAGCCAACATCCAAAGAAGGTCCATCAGAAAGCCTGGAGGAACAAGACCACTTCAAAAATTACAAGAAAGTCTTTGATAATTGGAACATGAAGAAGTGAGACTGGAGGCCGTCGGACAGTACTGGAACATGATGCAGAGGTGTTTAACGATTATTTTTGAATCTTGTTTATGGAGACGTGATGTGACTGTGACTCTTTTTTGTCAAACACAGACAGCTGCACTGTTTCAGCCTGCGCATGCTCAGTACACTAACAAAACAGGCTTCTTTATACGCATATTGTTTATTAGAAAGACTAAAGAAGAGCCTCAAAAACCGTGACTCTTCTAGGTTCACAGTTTCAGTGGATACACAGTCTGACACCGTGAGCTCACCTGTACATTCAAACTCTTTCCAGATGTTTCTACGCCTCTCAGCAGCCATCTGAAGCACCTCTGACGTGAGCACTTTTTTGGGGGAGGGAGTTAAAGCGTCATTTAAATGAATAGTTTAACTATACTAGAAAATAAAACAGTAAAAAGTAATAAAAACACTTTGAACCTTTGTTCAGATTAAACAGCCTGGATCAGGGTGTCTAACCAGCTGTGACTGTTGCCTCTTTCCAACAGACGGTTTCTGCATTACAGCCTGAGCGCACCACCCGACCAGAACAATGCTTTGTTACATTAACACACACACACACACACACACACACACACACACACACACACACACACACACACACACACACACACACACACACACACGAATGTTTGATTGGTTACATCAGCACACCGCCTGAAGCTACAATGTTACAGTGAACATCAACACTGTTGCGGCCTTCAGTGGAACGTCATCAGTTATACGACGGAACAGCCAATCACAGTAGAACAAGGCGTCCCTCCGGCCGATCCATTCTACCACCATCAGCCCGAGTGTTTAACGGGGTATTTTCTTCCTCTGCAGGCTCACAGCGGAATTACAGCTGATGGTGTTCGTTTGCGTCGCCACTCCACTGATCGTCAGAGACGCTTGATAAAAATGGCTACTCATTAGCGCATACAAATCTGTAACAGTCCTCTACAAAATAAAGTACTCCAGTTGCCATGCACATCTTGTGCTGATGGCTCTGCAGGGCAGGCGCTAAGCCTCAGACATTTGGATTTGTAACTGATAGGCTCGGTATCAAAAAAGTGCTGCCTCATTCTTACAGTCACGTCTTCGTTTCAGGGTAACTATAAATAGCCATTCCTCATTACAGGAGCAGATTAGAAGACACGTCTGTTTATGTGTGTGTCTCATATTCATATCAAGCACGATGGTGTAGTGGTTAGCGCTGTTGCCTCACAGCACAAAGGTTCCTGATTTGATTTCTCTAGTCAGTGTGGGGTTTGCCCCATGCTTGTGTTCTCCCTGGATCCTCTCACAGGTTGGGTTTGCTGGCTAAACACATTTTACAGTTTTTTAAACTATCTCCAAACTTTATGTCCCAAAACTCAATCTACAAACTACATGAACCAAACATCTGACTCTTCTGGTAAAACTCACAAAAACCAAAGTTTTACCTTTGCTCAGATCTGCACAGTGTCACCCAGCAACCATATCACCCACACTTCAACAGAAAAACAAAAACAGTGCTCAGAAAATGCAACTTGAATTTTTCTGTGGCAGTTCCACAGAAATTACAAAAGTATGAGATAAAATCAGAAGTAGGACCTCAGCTTCCGTTATTACAGTGTGATGAACTTATGCCCTCACTTACATAAGAAAAAAAAAACAGAATAAAGCATCTGGTAAAGATTTGAGTTTTATTTATTTTGTATATGTCATAAGACTTCATACCTTACTTAAAAGTGGCCTGTTTCACATTTTTCTCATCCAACATTATAAGAATCAAGTATAAATAGTATGTTGAAAAAAAGAAAAATGGAAAAATTATGAACAAAAACTGGGAAAAAAATTTCACTCAGGCAAATTTCAGGCACTCACAAGAGGTTTGGATAAATAACAAAAAGCTTTTATGTTACTGGGCTGAAGACATTAGAAAAACACCTTTGTTCCTTTCCATGAGAGTTCCTGTTATTTCTTTAAACATTATGTTAACTCAGAACAAAGTGAAATGAGAATAAATCTAAGAGACTAGCACTGCCACTGAAAGCAAAGTCTAGCACAGTTGCTCACATTTCATCTGAAAGGACTCCTAATCTAACTCGTCCTCATCTTCCTCCTGTGCGTCTCAGATTTTTTCCTTCCGTTGCTGGCATCAACTTTCAGCTTCCTCCTCACTGGCTTGAGCAACAAGAGTGAACGATTTAGTGTTTAAGTGAAATCTGAGCACAGTTGCGTTTAACTTCTGCTGGAACGCATGACAAGCTACTGCGAACAACTCTGGGAACTCTGCTGTGTTTGCCCTATTTTTGTGGATTTACCTTTTAGCGTTGCAGATAATTGAAACAATCTTTCAAAGTCGATACAACTGCAAAAATCAGGTGTTTGTCTCTCTGGAGTCATTAGATTTCAATATTTTTCTATTTTATCTGTCGTTCCATCTAAGAAATAGTTGTTTTACTACAGCATTTCAGCCTTGACTCTATGTCTAATTTATAACATAGAAACTTCAGCAGCGCTTCTTTTTACACATAAAACAAGAACAAACAAAAGACAATTGCAGTGACATGTATGTGACATGTCACTGCAGTGGTCTGATGACTAATGCAACCACTCAGTGGTTTGCAGACCGAAGGATTACCCTTTGACCCCTTGATAGCAGTATGACGCATACAATTAGGCTCAGACATTTAACATTGATCCAGTTTACTCCTGTGAACATCGATGAATGAGTCCTTTACCTCTGGTTTAGTTCTCTACTGCTAATGCGTAGGAGTGTGAGGAGCTCCGGGAATATCAATGTCCTTGTTAGAAAGACAAGATGGCTAGACTTCCCCAGACAGATAGTTCAGGGTATCTTCGATCTGCGGTGATTCTGGGAATGTTAAACAAAGTGTTCGTGACGTTTAAAAGAACTCCTTATATCCAAGGATATAAGGAGTTCTTTTAAACGTCACGAACACAATATTGTCCTCATATGTAAGCTGTTGTGTTCTGCAGATGTTTCCATAGACTCCCAGTGTCTGTGTGCAAAAAGCAGGCTGTTAAATCCTGTTATTCTAGGACATGGGGGGCAGAAGATTTTAATCTGGGAGCTTTCTTTTTTTTTTAAAAATCTTCCAAACGCTAAAAAAAAAGGAAAGAAAAAAAAAGACTTTAAAGGCCTTAAAGATGCAAAATTACCATCTTGGTCCCTCCAGCTGTCCTTGGAGCTACTAAAGCTCAGCTACACTTCATGCTTCGAGCCTATATTTAGTTCAAGCACAGAAACATTTAAACCCTCTCTTCATGAGTCCACATGAAAAAGCACAGGCTTGTTTTCAGTATGTTAATATGACTCGTTATAGTGAGAAGAACAGATAACAGAAGGTTCAGGTTTCACGTTTTAATAACAGATCTCCATTTACAAACAGTGACGTCATTCAGCTGCTTTAACGTCCATCAGAGCAGGCATAGAGTGTGTGTGTGTGTGTGTGTGTGTGCGCGCGTGTGTGTGCGTGTGTGTATGGTGATTAATGAAGAATGCATATTTCAACATTAACAAGCACACAGGAGAAAAACACGGACATATTAAAGTGGTTTGACTTGCTTTTCTTCATCCTGACGAAAAGATTTGTGGAACGCCGTTTGTTCCCTCAGTGCTGAACGTCTGCAAGTCTGGATTTTAGCGTGTGAGTGTGTGCGAGTGTGTGAGAGTGTGTGTGGGGGGTTACATGTTGTTTACTCAGGGCTGTTTGTTTTCCTTTTGCTGCCTGCAGACAGTCTGAACACAGAAATGAACAGAGGTCAGTGAACAACACTCAATTTTCTGATTTCAGCGCCTCAAACAAACACCAGTTGCTGCAAATCTAAAACAAAAAATTTCAAATTTTTCACGCTGCTCTCCAATGTCACCTCTGTCAGCACTCACTGCTTAAACCGTTTCTTCCACTTAATGCGGCACAAAAACGCAACCAAATCCTGCTTTTTAAAAAGACAGCTCTCAAACGAACTGAAGACTCTCTTATTGCTGAATGTTTTATCTTTTATCCCAGTGAGTGTTCAAGTCAAGAATGTGCTGATTTCTAAATAAGCTCTTGCAGTGCAGGATTCATTTTTGCCTCTTTGTCATGGATGGAAACACTGCGAGGAGACGTCAGAGGCACTGCGTTGTTACAGGAAATCTTGAAGCTGCATTAAAACGAGTTTTAACTTGTGACTTTATTGTACTTCTCCAATAAAATTTGACACTAATTCTGCGCAACAGAGAGGACAAACACACAGAGAGACTGTGATCTCTAAAATCATCAAGTTTAAAGAACCAAAACCTTTACAAACCATAGAGACAAAGGCAAATCTCCGACTATATTCGAGTATCCAGGGAGTTTGGTAGGTTTTTGATGCTGCATTGTGAAGCAGGCTTAGTTCACCTCTAAACAAACACCTGGCTGTGAAATACTTAGTTTGAAGATGTTTTTGGAGAAGTTAAACCTCTTAAATAATCTGTGCTCTCATCAGTGTTTCAGGTGAAGGTCCAGATTTTCCCCTCGCACGTCGCGATGCGACATTAATTTGGCCCTAAAGCCGAGACCGACTCCACAAGCTCATGATGCTCATTCGAAGATACCCTCCTCGGGCGTGCTGTTGCTATGACGACAAGAATGAATTCACATGCTGCGACAACGGCGACTCAGACGCAAAGCCAAGAAACCGACGGTTTGTCTGGGGCTCCAAGGGCGCAACCTTGGCTCCTGCAGCGCGGGACGTTTGCTCAGCTATTTATAGGCAGACAGGTAAGAACAAGTTTAAGATCAAACACAGGAAGGCGCTGAATACTGACACCTGGTTTTGAATAAATCAGGCCAATAACCTGTTAATGAATACGCCGTTTCAGTTTAATTTGATTCTTGGCAACATCTGGCCCTGATATCGCAAAAACGTATCATGTTTACAACACAGAAGCATCAGTCAAAGTTTCAGTGTTAACTATTAATGCTATTCTCCTTTTCCTTCTTTTCTGTGATATACCTAATGTTAGAATGCTGGGTGCTTTTATTAAACCTGGACAAAGGTTCAATTTATGAGGTCAGTGTATGTGTAGGAATCCCTGTAAACTAAAAACTCAGTAACAGTTTATTTTTTTTCTACCCTTGGCTCTGTATGAGGTCACCAAATGAGGCTATTCCTTATATGGTCATCTCAGACAGAGAAGCCCCACCCACCCAGGGATTCACTCTTCAAATTGCGTCTTTATGACGTAGCCAATCAGAAACTACTACTACTGTGTCGCTTTAAATACTCCGAGATACTAAAATTAGCAAATTTTTAAGTAGTCATGCACACAGCATCAGAGTGAACAGAAATACAGTCCGATTATGAGGGGAGGATGGTTAAGGTGCAGTCCTGTAGCCTCTAAATCAGCTGATTATAAATTGTTACTACCAGAAATGTCTGGATTACAATCTGGGCTCAAACGTATCCTCACTACACACCATCTGGATCAGCAAAACTGAAGAACTAAAGTGACGTACAATCACATCTCTGTACTTTATCGGAAATATCAATAAAAATCTGCTTTTGAAAGTTATGTGAGTATCATACAGGGAAGTGCAAGGATTCAACCAGGAATTATTTTAATACTAATAACACGCCTGACAGTTAAACTTAGTAAAAACTCAAACTCGCAAAAATGTTAATAATTGGAAGTTTTAAGATTGGCTCAATTGATCCCCAAACAATTTGGAATTTTCTGGGATCTAGGAATTTTTGAAATTCCCGGAGGGGTAAATTTGCCCGTTGGCTTTCCATTTTCACAGATACTAATCAAGCTGAACCAAAAGAAAAACATTGTCTAGATGGTTTTGTGAAAGTATAGCTCCTTAATCCAGATGCAGATGTCCTTTTGGATCCCGGGACTCAGTGAATGCTAAATGTGAGGGAAACTTTCCGTCTTAGACGTGGTTTAAACTTTCAGGCGCAGCTTTTGGCAGGTTTATGGCCGACAGTGAAAAATCAGACAGATTTTTGCTTTCTTTTCTATCGTCAGGAATAGGAAGGCAGAAAAGTCAAGTCGAGAGTAAATTCAGTCACGCAAAGGGAACAAACTTCATCACGGAGATGTGCAATTATTAAATTCCTTCCAACTAAACGTGTGCAGTGAGTGTCGGGGGCGTTATGGGAGCCGTTTTGCCGCTTCAGTCAGATCGATAAACAGAAAGTACACCCCTGAATGTGGCAGCTAACAATGAACTGTGGATTTATTTTATGTGCAAATTCTTGCAAGAGGCAATTCAGGTGCGACAGGAGAGTCCATAACACAGAATACATGATGCTACACCAAGAGGGGGACTGTGTGTGCGTGTGTGTGCTTGGAATGTGCAACAGTGTGCGTTTGTTGGTGCCAACGTTACTCATTAGGATGCATGAGGATTAGTGACGATTCGACTGATTAGCTTGGACAGTCAGCTGAAATGATTGCTCTCTGTGCTCGAGTCGGGTCGGTCACCCCGACACCAAAAACATCAGATTAAACCCAGACTGCTTTCAGGGAGAAACTCTATAACACAAAATAAAAACACATCGACATCTTCATGTTCCCTAAAACAGCAGACATTCGATTTATAACCGTCTCGTTTGTATGTACAATAGAAGGATCTTCATATATTAATAATCTTTCCTGCTTCGTCTTCACCTCATCATCGCTGCCGAGTCCCTACACGTTTGTCCGCTGTGTATTTATAGAGTATTTTCATTATTTACAGTATAAATTACTACACAGTCTTGTGATAAAATAAATAACATACATACAATGGCCGTGGCTTTTGCAGTGTCTTTAGCATGAAGGGGAAAAAGGGAGGGGTCCGATGGAGGAGGGCCTGCCGTTAGCTCCTTTGTTGCTTCGGGGTTACAGACCGAAGGATGAAGAACGCGGTTAAAGCAGTCTTTCTGCAGAGAGACACGGAGGAGGGAGGGCGGAAACAGTGGGAATAAACCGCAGTCCCACTTAGGGGGGGGGAACTCTTCCTGAGAAACACTTTTCTCACTTCCATCATGGACAAAAAGCTCATTAAATAATAAAACTTCCCAACTTTCTGGACTTAATTTTGGCTAATCTGCACTTCAAGACTGTCTCCTTGTGCACCTCTGTACCGCCTCCAGGCTTGCTGCGTGTTTTAGATCACTCAGTGGAAGTTTTCTAATAATGATTACAAACGTACACATCTGATGAGAGCTATCAATCCGGCTACAAACGAGCAGTTTTCAGTGGAAGAGTCTGCAGAGTCCAGGCTAGATGGGAGCACATCAAGTGAGGAGTACGACCACGGATGATGATCTTCATTTTTTTCCAGGAAGCTGAGCAGCATGAAATGTGTGAACCAGGTTTAGAGGCCCCCGTAACATCCCGAGGACTCTGAAGGAGGAGCATTTCACCCACAGAAACATCATCTGTGCTCGCTCCCTGAACGGTCACCCTTTAGACTCTCTGAAGGAGACTTCCACAGAGAAATCTAAAAATAAAGCTGCCCAAAGAGACACATCCAGTTTATACTTTATCAGTGATGGCAAATTTAAACCAATTGATAAATGTTTTTTAAAATGGCCCATTTTAAAAAACTTCCACTTCGCTACAGTGGAAGAAATTCATGTGGAAAATGGGACCAGGTAGAGCTGACGTGCTCGAATAGTCCAGATCAGCAGAACAGGTTGTGAAATTTGAATGTTTCAACAATAAGGCTGGCTTTTTAGGTCCATCATATGGTCAAAAATACATGGACACCCGAACACTTCACCCGTATGTGACTCATACTCTGCTGCTGCAACAGCTTTTCCAACACATTAGTGGCGTGTAACACTGATTTCATAGTTCCAGTTGATCCTAAACGAGGTCTGGCTGGTTTCCACGCTGCTTTAAAACATTCCTCAGAAAATAAACAAAAGCAGCAGTAAAAGAAAACAAACAAACAAAACAACTAAAGGGGTGTCCACATACTTCTGTCATATACTGATATGGTCTACTGTGGCTTAGTGCTATATTCAATGTGTCATTTGTTCCCAAGTTTTCCTAAATGAGTGTTTCAGGAAGAGTTTCCCACCTCTGAGTGAAGGCGTGTACAGAGAGTTATACTGAGGGTTAATACTGCAGTGGTAGGTCAGGTATAGTCTCTGGTAGTTGGCCCCAAATTCTGACATATTAGGACGACGACGACGAGGGAAAGGATGGAGGGATGAGTGCAAAGCTTCCCCTCCAGCTATACCACCGTGCCGCTCGGAGAGTTCCCGTTCTGTGCTGTCAGGTTCTGAATGGGAGAAGAAGAAAAACACAAAGTTAGACGCACTGAAAATCCTCTCCTGTCTGCACTCAAACCGAACTTTACCCTGGTTCATAATTATACTGATAATTAAATAAGTGGGCAAACCAGACCCAGTGTCTGTTTAAAGGGTTTTATCAATACGCTAAACTCGATTCTGTTCAATATTAATTTTATCTCTTTATTAGATTATTGATGTGGTCCTCCACATCAGTCCCAGTTTCTTATATGAACTACTCTATAACTCCTTTTCCATTAGAATACTTGGATCAACTCGGCACGGTTCACCACGGTTTTCAGGGTTTAGGTCATAGTACCTGGTACCTGCTCGCCGGGTTTCCACGCGATCCAAGCAGGTACTAAACTGCGACATCGTCAGACTGCATGCCACCAATTGGCTGGTCAGTAGCATCACTCGAGAGTCTGTTGTTCATGAAAATTAAAACCGCCATTTTTAAAATGGCTACAAAAAACAACACCGTGTTCCCACGAATTTGACGAAGCCACAGACCCAACAGCAAGTATATTCTTGTTCAACTGCTTTTTAGCATTCGTGTCACATTTTAATGACGTCGAGGGACGCTCAGACACGTTGATATGATGAAATATGATATGATATGACGACAACCACATTAGGTAGTACTGAATTTGATCAGTATCAATCTGAGCCGAATAGTGCCGATCCGTGGAGTCAATCCGAGTAGCTACTAATGGAAAAGAGGCTTATGAAGCTGGGCAGGCCACAGAAGGTCTTTAAGCCATCAGCACGACCAGTATCTGCTCCTCAGTGAAAGGAGGAACAGCATGAGCAGTGCCAGAGCTGTAAATGTCTCTGACCAAGCAATCAGAAACAGACTTCATGAGGGTGACCTGAGGACACGACGCCCTCTAGTGGGCCCTGTGCTCACTGCCCAGCACCTTGTAGCCCAAACTGGCATTTGCCATAGAATACCAGAAATGGGAGGTTGTGCTTTATACAGATGAGAGCAGGTTCGCTCAGCACGACCAGTTTGGTGGTGGGTCAGTGACGGTCTGGGGAGACGTATCCATGGAGACCTGCAAAGACCTCTACAGGACAGGCAGCAGGACCCTGACTTAGGAGGATCTGGAAGTGAAGCCGAAACCTATCTCAGAAAACCCCACCACCTGTTTGACCTGCTGCGGGGTCAGGTCAATCAGGTACACACCTCCAGACTCACTAACAGCTTCCTCCCCTGAGCCATTCGGACTGTTAACAAACACCCCCCGCCCCACACCTGCCCACCCAACTCACCAATCTGAGCCATGGTCTGAGTAACCCTCTTCATTCAGGCCTCTCACACATGGACTCAATACTCAGACAGAGTCCTTTTGCACTGCTTCCCTTTCTCTTGCTTTGAATATATTATAGTATATATCTGTTCTGTTGGCCATTTATTCCTGATGTCTTTACTATTCCTGATGTATTTACAATGACAATGAAGGGCTATTCTATTCTACCACATACCCAGCCCATATCAGAGCACCTATCCAGCATGGTTAATTTTTTCCAATGAGAGCTGATGCGCTTTCAAACTGTACTTTTAATTTTTGCCTTTGCCAAATCTTTGATCTCAGCAGCAAATGTACACACTTCTTAGCATTCAACTTTTTTAATAACACACCTGCTCCTTAAAGTTCAGAGAACAGACAGATTTAGACTCCAGGTGTCTGTTCGGCCTAACCTCCACTAATTCATAAGGCTCCTCGGGGCTAGTGTCTTCTGGAACATTTTTGGGCACCACTGCTATAGCAACACCATGCTAGGTTTCCTTCTATACATAATAATGAGACAAGCATGTCTGAGAGGCGGGAGTCAGCCTCCAATGATGATGAGCTACCTCAACAACCTCCAACAAACCACTGAACTCTGAAAAATATGCAAGAAAATGGTTGGTGCTGAAGGCGAAACGACAAATGTGTTTCACATAAATACTACTGTTTAAGTGTTTAGCACTACTTGGGCTACCCAAAAACTTGATTCTGTTCGTCTGGACGCAGCAGTTTCAGTGGGAGTGGCGCTCATCCAGGTGACGTCTTCATTTTTTCAGAACAAAAAATAAAAATAAATAATTGGTCCACCCAAAGGATCAGGTCCCCCGACACAAACAGAGTAACATAGTGTACACTGTTAAGTGCAGGAGGATTGCCAGGATTTATACATCGGGGAAACCAAACAACCTCTGGCGAAGCGGATGGCACAACACAGAAGAGCCACCTCGTCAGGACTCTGCAGTCTATTTACACCTACAGGCCAGTGGACACTCTTTCAATGATGAGGATGTACACATCCTGGACAGGGAGGAACGCTGGTTTGAGGGCGGAGTCAAGGAGGCCATTTACGTGAAAAGGGAAAGACCATCTCTGAATCAAGGAGGGGGCCTAAGGGTACATCTGTCACCATCTTACAATGCTGTGATTGCAGCCATTCCCCAACTCTCTGTGAATGGGACTCATGGCCATTGATCAGTGGTTGTTGATCAATGATCATGACAATTTGCATATTAATGGTCAAGGAACTGACCTTCCAGCCCATTGGTCATTCAGTGGTGCTAGCTTCAGTTATTGTGCAAATGTACTGTTTATAAGATTTGGGGAAACCTGCAGTCAGCTGAGACTGAAGAAGTCACCTGGATGAGTGACGAATCGTTTCTCCCACAAAAACGCTACGTCCAGACGAACAGAATCAACCTTTGGGATTTTCTTCCCTGAAAGATTGAGCGTGCATCAAGACTTGGGCTACTCAGAAATACATCACAACTTTTCTTGAAATATACACGAGCACTCAGTGTTTCTCTGTCCTCTTTTAAGACTAACAAATTGGTTCAAGACACTTTGCTCCAACCTTCTGAAGAGGTTAAATCCTGTTTAGAATAAATTAGATGATAAAGTAGGGTTTGCTTTCAGGTGTAGGAAATCTGCAACTGGGAAATCAATGCGTGCACTGTCCTTGATTGAGCCTTCGGTTGTTCTGAGTTTTTCATGTCCCTGGTGGCATGTGCCATAATTCATGAGGACGAGAGTGAGGCTGAAATGCCTGCATGAACTGGGCTGTTCACTCTTTGCAGCAGCTTCGATGTCTCACCCAAACATGGTCCCATCTGGCTTTAAAACACCAGATTAAAGGCTTAGATGATACCCTGTAAAATAAAAGATGATGTGATGATGGCTTAGTCCATCTTTGTGAACAGTCTCTGTTTTTGCCCTGCACTGTAAATTAAAACCATGTTGGACTGGAGTTATGAAGACATGTGAAGCGAGTTATTCTCTAACATCTAAGACCGACTGCGAGACTAAACAACTAGAGAGAAAAACTATGACTTAAAAATGTTAACAGGAGACGTACCGCCTTCCCCGGCCGTGCCCAGGTACAGATGAGGCCCTCTTGGCAGGCCGTGATGATGCAGTCATCCATGAACACCAGGACCGTCAGCCTCTCGTGTGCAATCTTCTTACAGACCAGCGGCTCCAGCAGCGGCACTTCGTGCATGCGTGGGCACAGCGTAGTGCCCAGCACCTTGGCGGCGTCCAGCCGGTTGCTCCTCGGCGCCACATTGATCTTGTCGTTGCTTTTGCTGATGTTGCCCAGGCTGTGGTACCGCTTGTGCTCCTTCTCCACGCCCCCGCTGCTGCCGGACTTATCCGACTTGCGCTCCTGTAGGGAAAGAGTGGCGAAGCGGCCGATGCTGAAGGGGGTGCTGTTTCCTCCACCGCTGCTCCCTCCCCTCCTCCTCCTCCCCCACTGCCCTCTGAGGCGCCCTGGCCTTTGGAGGCGTTCGCCACAGCGGGGTGGGGCAAAGAGTTGGAGCGCGAAAGGGAGCGAGGAAGCGGTAAAGGGAGTGTGGGTGGGTTGGAGGTGCCGGTGTTAGTGTTCGGGGGGTGATGATGTCCCTCCACACCTCCACTTCCTCCCCCACCTGAGGTGCTGTTGATCCCCCCGCTGCCAGAGTTGGACAGCGAAGGCCCAAAAGTGTTAGTAAAGGCGCGGGACAGCGGCAGGCGCGGGTACAGCACGTCATCCGTCAGGTCCCACAAACAGAACTGGGTGTCCTGCCCCACCGAGCCAAATCGGTAAGTGACCGATGGCGAGCCGCCGCCTTTCGAGCTGTGCCGAGAAAGGCGGGATAACGTGCTGCTCGTTCGAACCCGCCCAAAGTGCATGGAGTTATTTTGTGCCCCCTGGTGGAGGTCCTCCTCGCTGCCACTGAGCTCCATAGGCTCCTCATCTTCCAGGGAAGTCGTGAAGGGATCGAATGCCACCACGTTGACCCAAGACTTGTGGCCGTGCCCCCTCGCTACCACTCGGCTTTCTGCAAATGACCACACAGTAACCAGATCATCCTCCCCTCCCGTGGCGAGATATTTCCCATCTGGGCTCCACGACACACAGAGCAGCCCACCAAAGTAGCTCTTCATCACGCCCTGAAGCTCCATCGAATCAAAGTGGAAGACACGCAGGCATCCGTCCTGGCCCACGCACGCCACGTGCACGCCATCTGGGGAGAACGCAAACTCGTTGAGGCCTCCCTCCCCGACGGCCCACCGCAGCAGAGGGTTGCGCGGCGTCTTGGTTTTGCAGGCATAAACGGCAAAGCCTTCGCCCTGCCGCAACAGAGAGTACTGTGGTGCCGTGGTGCCGCACGGGTGGTCCACGTTGTAGAGGTAGAGGTGACCGCTGGCATGGGAGGCCAGGAACAGGTTCTCCGACTTGGGAAGCCATTTTAGACACGTTACCTTGGATTTGTCTATCAACCTCTGTGAAAGAGGAAGGAGGTGGGGACAGACGGAGAAGGTGAGAGGGAAGGAAGGGTGGAGAAAGACATTAGAAAAGTATGAGTTTTAGGTTTTGTTGAGTTTATTAATTAATAATAATAATAATTAATTAAAATGTGAAATAAATAAATAACTAATTCAATGTGTCAAATATTTATTTAATTAATTATTTACAATTTTAATTAATTATTTAATGGTGTATTTAATTAATTCATTATGGCAGTCCTGGCCTTCCGTAGTTTTAAAGCCATTTTTTATCATCTGTGTACCGATGACATTCAGCTGTGCCTCTCATTTAAAACTCAGTTGCATTACTGGAACACATGGTTTTCTTGTCTATCTAAAGCATCTATTGATCAAAACGCTGCTGTAAGGTTTATAACTCAATGGTAAATGGTCCGTATTTGTACAGCGCTTTACTTAGTCCCTAAGGACCCCAAAGCGCTTTACACCACATTCAGTCATCCACCCATTCACACACACATTCACACACTGGTGACGGCAAGCTACATGTAGCCACAGTTGCCAGTGCGCCCCAGTTTTTATTTTTTTGACAGTAGAGGCAGGAAAACATACAGGAAATGGGCTAAGGTGGAAATACACCCAGCCATTCTTTCAGCATAAACGCCTTTACGTACCAAGCACATTGCAAAAACAAACAAACAAACCAGACATGAAATTATGAACTTTTCAGATGCAAATTTGTCGTGTAAAGTATATACACCCTGAAAGTGTCCTCAAAAATATGCACGTTAGGAAAAAAAATGAAGTCGAGATCAAGCGATGATGAGCTGATTCTGATGTTTCTAAACAGGAAAAGGAAGAGACAGACGCTGGGCTCATCCAGTTCTCATCAGAACACAGCAGCAGGGACAGTTTCGTGGTTTCATCCCGGAGCTGAAGCTACATTACGACAGCTTTTCCTACATATTTCAAGATCTCAGTTTGAGCTGTTGTGAGCTGAGTTGGGGCCACATCTGTGAATGCAGAGAAATCACTTCAGAGAGCCAATTGACCCAGAGAACGTTTAGCTGCATGTCTGAGATTTGGCTCAAATGCAGTGGTCTGACTGGTCAGATTTGTTTCTTTGCATGTGAATTAAAAAAAACTGAACTTGATTCAAAAAAAATAATTTTGTCCTGCAAAATTAAGAGCTACACCAGCCTCAGCCCTCCACCCTTCATTATATCCCTGAGATCTGATGAACATATTGTTTTGTTTTAATTTGCCACATAATCTGCACACACCACAAGCCTGTTTGCCAGGTCGGCTCTCTGCAACAAACCCAGATTAAAGCCGAGACACAGATTTATTACCTCCTCGTTAAAGAGTTTACTGGTTTCCTTCTTGATGGGGTCGAGATACTGGACCTGCCCGGCTGAGAAACCCACGATGAGAGCTACGCTCTCTGCTGTGGCCGAGTACTGGTTGAAGTCGTGACACGTGGGCTGCGTCCCCTTGTAGATCCTCTTGTCTATGGGCTTACTGAGGTCCACAGCCTGCAGACAACAGCGAGGAGAAAGTTTCAGCGACATTCAGAGAACCAAAACAACAAACATCACACTTCTGTGCCCATTCTTATGTTTCTGTCCTTCTTTCTTTTTTTTTTTTGACAATCCAATCATCACACGTTGAAGTGTTTCCATGGCAGCTGCAGTGGAGCTTGATTTGAACGTTTTTCACATCAGGGTTTGCCATCTCAGCGAAGGAGCAAAGTTTCTGTGCAGGGCCGCTGTGTTCACCGACAATCACCAACCACAGAGAGAACCCGTTAAACAGGGCAGGGCTGCAAAGATCTACAGCTTAGAGAGGTAACTAAATGTTTTCAGGGTTATGGAGGTGACTCCCTTTCTGTGAAAACTTACGCTGCAGACCTAAAATGCTCTGGAGGAGGTTGTGTTTGAGAGATCATCATCATCATGCACTAAACTGCTGCTCCAATGGAGATCAGCGGGCTTAAGCTACTCGAGTCGCTTTGGGGAAGGGGAAGCTGTTTACATGCGTCCTGTAGTTTCTTTAAACAGGTTATTAGCGTTTCTCATTAAGAAGCACGAGGTGCTGCAGGCTGGAAGCAGATCCAGCTCCAGGGAAAACCCTCAGCGATGATACTTTTCTTTTTTTCTGTCATGCCAAAAACACTCTTTTCCTTCAATGGGTTCTGAAATATAACTTATGCATTCACGGTGCCACACAGGATTTAGATGTGTCCTTGATCCGCACAGCTGATTTAAATGGCTAAATTACCTCCTCAACATGTCTTGAAGTTCTTCAGAGGCTGGTAATGAACTAATCATTCGAGTTAGGTGTGTTGACCCAGGGTGATATGTAAAACTTGCAGGACAACGGCCCTGAGACTTTGAGCTCCCCACCCCAGATCTATAACAATGCTAAGGTAGGTGGTATGTGTCAAAGTAACATCCACACGACAAGCCTCTGCTGGCTCGCCTTCTTCTCACAGTGCATCCTGCTGCCAGGTGCTCCCCAGGGTAAGCAAAACACATCCGTCCACGTGATGTAAAAAAAATATGATCCATTAGATTGTCCCACCTTGTTCCAGAGCTTCTGTCTAGTTCTTGCGTGCCTCTTCTCTGTGCTTTCGGCACTGGACGGGGGTCAGCATGGGCCCCTGAGTGGTCTGTGGATATGTCGTCCACACGGGCCAGCCTTCATTCCCCTTGTGCTCCAGTGAGCCTTGGCCGCCCGTGACTCTGTCGCTGATTCCCCACTGCGGACCAGGAACATCTCACAAGGGCTGCGGCTTTGGAGATGCTCTGACCCGGCTGTTTAGCCATCACAATGTGGTCTTTTGTCACTAAAACCCTTAGTGTCATGATGAAGAGAAAAATCACCTGTCAGTGGTCAAAGTTAAGCCTGAGGAGGCATTTATACATTTATGTGTGTTGTGATATTTTTATTTGTATAAATGTTTCCTACCATTCATCTACTTCTACAACTTTTTTCAGGAACTGGTCCATTTGTGTGTCAAAGATCACAGAAAGCTTTGTACAAATGTGTGTTTTCTAACATGAATCGCTACATTGTGACGTTCTGCGGTGACCCACACATAACAGGCTCAGAGTAGCAACTTTGCCTTCAGCAGAAATTTTGATCTTTCTGTACAAAATATTTGAAATATTCTACACGTGCAAACCAGATGTTTGTTCAGTCCGAGTACAAAACGGGAGTAACAAGTGATTAAAATCCGCCCGACTATGACGACTTCATTGGAATTTGTTGTTCCTCAAAGTATTATGGAGTCACTGCTAGTGTTATTTAAATGTTGATATTAAAATGATATGAGCATACTGCAGTACATGCATTATTAAAACTAAGAACAATATGTTTTATGGAAATAAAAGTAATTTTGTTGGCAATGTTTGTTTGCATAAAACCAAACTTACAGACATAACAGCTAAAAGCATGCATCTTAGATACAGGAAACTGTAGCTGTGATCATCATAAATACACATTAAAAAAAGAATAACAGGGTTATAAATGACCGCACGTGGACATTTTAGTCACTTGAGGGTCAAAATGATTAAGTTTCAGTGGTGAACAGCTGCTGCATGAGCATCTAATGAGATTACATCCTCAAACAAAAGACATAACCTCGTCCTGATGTGAACCAGAACCACCACCTCGGTGCCCTCAGCCTCTCGTGTGTGGAAGGCAAACACAAAAGAGGACAGAGGACAAAATCAGCTCTGTAATTGTTTTGATTCGGCAGAAAATGGGAAAAGTCGAGAATAATTATTTGGAATCAATAGCGAGTGTCCGAGGGCCTCACTGCATTATATTACTTCATACTTTTAATTACTGATGCCAGATGTTTGCATTTCTTTACTTAAAAACTTAAATGTTGCAGAAAATAAATCCCAAAAGCTGAAACTGTCCTGTTTTTAAAACCTATTTGATCAAAACATGATATCGAACCTTCAAAATACCTGCCCGAGCAGGTGCTGTGAGGGAGGCGGCTGCTGAGTGGCAGGTCTCGTTTCTATAAGGTCATATCAGGCACACAGCAGCTCCACCCACCTGCTGTTTAAATCTTCTGTTTGAGAGGGGCAGCCAATCAGAAGAAAGCCGTTTTAACACTTTCCCCAATAAAGACGACATCTGACCAACCTCTCCTGTCCCTTTGATGACAAGCTTTGACACCTTAGCATACACATCTATAAAGACGTGTCTGATCACCACTAGAACGATTTCCAGGTGGCTGCACAGGCAGAACACCCTCACTGACCTCTTGATGCAAACCCAGTCATTCTGTTCTATGGCAGAAACCACTCAGTTTGGACAAGAGTGTCAAGGGTCACTCCTAGCAGGCTTTGATGGTGTCTTGTTTCCAACAGAGGACAAACAGAGGAGCTGCACCAATACCAGGAATAAGACAACTAAGGATTATAGGAATCATGCAAAGCTCTCCTAGCAGTGCTGAAGAATAAAAATATGATGCTAAACAAGAAAAACTAAAAGGTCTACTTTAAACATGCTCCCTATATGCACAGAAGCCCCGCCCACCTGCAGTCACAAACCTTCTGTTTGTGAGGGCAGCCAATCATGAGAAAGCTGGTTTAAAGGAAGAGAGGAGGGGCTGCAGTAAGGCCTAGGATAACATGAATAACAATGATTCATGCAAAGCTGCTCTAGTAACAAAAATATGAAGCACAGCAGGGTCCCTTTAGATAATATGATTAAAATAGTCAAATTCAGCCCACTCTGGATGGAGTCTATTTTTGACACATGGCCTTGTAAATGAGGGGACAGGGAGGCTGCAGAGCCTGTGATGGTTCATCTGGATTGTTCTGTTGTTAAAAAGCAACATTTTGCAGAAAGTAAATGATCTCGTAGTGTGCCTCCAAATTACAAGCCTTTAGCTGTGAGCGCTGGCAGGCAGCCCCAGCCAAGGACCAGGCTTCAGCTCCCAGCAAGGCTGCAGTGAATGGAGAGCCGTCAGAGCCTTTCTTCTCGCCGTTTCCTGCTCCTTCTGACACTGTGCATCCGTTTGCACGATGCGCCACTCACCACCTATTCAGCCAAATGAGCAGCAGCTCCATTTTGCATTGCATAACAAGCAGAAAGCTGTGGTGGTGGTGCAGCAGCAGCAGCCGCCGCTCGGAGAGCCTGAAAAGATGACGAAATGCGAAGCAGCAGCATCACACTAGCAGCTTAGCACGCCAGGCTAAACTCGCCCCCAGCCTCACCTTCTTGATGTTGGTGTACGTGTAGAAATACAGCTCCCTGCCGATGTTGAAGCACACCCGCTCCGACTCCTCGCTCGGGTCTTCGGGCTGCAGCTTCACCATGGAGACCCGGACCGGCGGCAGGAAGCCAGCCGGGGAGGAGTTGGCTGCGGCATTGGAGGAGGAAGAGGCGGCAGCGGCGGCGGCTGCAGCCCCGGGCCCCTGCAGCAGCCCGACCCCTCCGCCGGGTATCGGACCCGGTCCGGCCCCGGGCCCCAGCGTGGTACCGGCGGACGGCCCCCGCGGCAGCCCGCCCCGCTGCAGCGAGTCTGAGAGGGTGAGCAGCTTGTAGAAGCCCTCTCTGGTCCGGAACTGGGACTTAATCTCATTGATATCCTTCAGAGCGCCGCCATCTCCGGCCATTTTAGTACAAACACGCCGCACAGGAAACGGAGATTCTGACCTGGAAACAAAAACGCGCTAATCACAAGTCCTAGGAGAGATGCGTGAGAGGCGAACATGAGGCGCAGCAGCCGAGCTCAGCAAGGCCGACCCGCACAGCCCGTCCGCCCCGCTGCATTTTACACCGGCACCCCCACTGCCTGCTAAATAAACCCCCGGAGACAGCCCCACCGAGCCGGTGTTAGCATCCTCCTCCGCCGGGTCTCTGCCTGCCTTCATCCAGCGTGCGTAAAGTACGTGTGACGGTGCGTCAGCTGCTGCTGCTGGCCCGGCCTGGCACTGCGCACTCCCACTGTGGTCGGGGGGCAAAGAGAGGACATCCAGCCCCCGTCAGCCTCAGTCAACCACCCCACCCCCAACACTTAACAACCAGTGGACCGGCCAGGACCACGGGCGTTTCCAAGATTTTTGTGGGCAGAGGGGGCGAGAATAAGGGGGCGCACTGGAAATCTGAGTATTTGATCAGAAATAAATTCAGACTTATGATGTGCTGACAGGTGTGTTACATGAAAAGTAGCACTGCTACTTAAAATTATATTTAAAAGTGGTGAAACATCAGATTATCCACTGGGTCTTCTGGGTAGGGGGCCAGTGCACGGCTGAGTGCCCATCCAAGACACAAGCAAAAGAGGGAAAATCATTGAATTTAATTACATATTTTAAATTCTTGCCCTTTAAACCACACATACAATACAGTAAACTTTTCTGTGTTACCCCTGCCGTTTCTCCGATATGCTGCTGAAGGTGTCCACCAAACTCAGCTCAGTATTTCCAACGTGAATGAAACAAGCACAAGATGGTTTAGCAAATAAAGTATGTCCCGTATGCTTCCTTTAGTTATTCCAAAAGAGCCTGACCGTCAAATCAAGTTGGCTTGGGCCCATCAACCGTTTGTGGCCAGACGTTTGTAAGAATGGGTGAAAGATGTATCAGCACTTTCATATGAAAATCATAATCCTGCTGAAGTAACCGTACAAAGGTTTCAGCACAAGCATACTGAGAGCAATAAATAAATAAAAGTACCCATTATGCAGAATCATGGCTGTGTGAGGTGGAGATGATTGGTTTCACCACAAAATATTGCTTGTTGCTAGTAATGAAGAAAGAAAGGCATTCATTGCATAGTATAATTCCAGCATTTACTCTGAATAATTCCTTTATTCTAATGTTTTTACTGTTAGAAACTCTTTGGTGGCTTCAGATAACGGTTTTGTTTTTTGTTTTTTCAAAACCATGCCTGTTAAGCCCATTCCTACCCTGTCACTCTTCAACTTTAACTGCAATTTTTGTATAAAATAACGATGCTTTTGTGTTGTTTAGCTTTGACTACACACAGACACAGGGTGGGACAAGCCTGCCCAGATATCTAAGAAATTCACATCATAACATATAATTAGCACATGATCTTGTAACTCATATTTCACTGCAGACTGAACAAGTTTATGCCATGAAATTCAAAATTCCATGTTTGGCTGTGATCAAGTATCTTAAGTGTTTTCCTGGAATGAGCCAAATGTTTGACGGTGACGTGTGACGCTCCCTCCTCAGTGAATAAAGGACCTCAAGAGTTTTTCTGAAGCACCTTTAAATTCAGCAGAGAATAACTCCGGCGTCTTTTTAGGAAAAGATTAGTGCCAGCAGAGAGGCTTCATTAGAAGTGCCGAAACCTGACGCTGTCGCTGCTCACACTGAGCTGCTGAAATTACAAAGAAAATTACAGATCAGAATAAATTAATTAAAATGAAGGATTTGTTATGCACAAATCCAGTGGCCTGAAATGAAGATGCTAATAGAAGTGACAGTGTGTTTGCTGTAAATCTATAAATATACATTCATTACCACCATCACTGTGTTCTCCATCCACGCTTAACTGGACTCAGTTTGATAGATTTCTGAAAAATAAATATAATCTGTGCCGGCACTAATGGCTTGAGCTTCTTCATAAGGCAGCGAGGAACAAATTGAAATAATTTACGGCTGTAGGGCTTTGAAATATTCCACATGAAGCAGGGACACCGGAGACAGCATGTAGAGGATGTATTTGTTCCCTCCAATAAAAACACGAAAGAATTGGAGGAATTATGAAGGAAAACTGCTGTAACATCACTCGGCGTCTGTTTATAACTCCTAAATTCTGAATCAGAATTATGAATTCAAACTAAAACGTTATCGTGCCTGAGCACCATGGATTTGTGCTCTCAGTCAGCACCTCCTCCTCTGGCTCTGTGTGCACACAGGAGAAGGCTTCTTAAACGATCTGAAGCCATGAGCAGTGTAGTCGAGTACTTCTTCATTAACAGCCTATATTTACTCATATGCTTTGAGTGTTTTATGCCATATGTTCATATAAGATCGTGTTTTAAAAGTTTGGGGGCATCCGGGGATATTGTGTCCTTGCAGAAATACAACGTGGCTTAAGAGACTTAAGAGGGTGATAAAAGGGAATTTTCTTAAAGAGGATAAATTACGCTGATGCATCCACAGCTTCCCCGTGTTTATGTGAAGACTCGTGCTGCAGTCAGTAAGCCCAGATAAATGTTCTCCAGAAGAAACATGTAGATGTGCATATGTGTGTGCCGACTCAGCAGGAACAGGATGAGAAATGTTCAGATTGTACGCTCACCTCTCACCCTATGATAGCTGGGATAGGCTTCGGCCCCCTAACGCACCTCAATAGATAAGAGGTTAAGGAAGTGGAAGGAGGGATAATTATTTGAAAGCAATATCGAATGCCTGGGAGCCTAACTGCATTACTTTCCAGACGTTTCTACCATAAACTGAGAGAAAAGGTAGCGATAGATGCTGCAAATAAAGCAAAAGCGTCCCGTCAGTGCTGAAACAAACCCACGATTCTGCCTTAGAATCACAGGCACAAATGACGGTGATACACAGAACAGAAATCACTGCAGTTAAAGATGCCGTGGCCCTCCGTCAACACATCCGCCCCAACACCCGCCTCCAAAATCAACAAAGCTTTCCATGTTGTGTTAACTCATTTTATTACACTGTAACGGCAGTAAAAAGTGTGACATACAGGCTCAAGTCACTAAACACACAGCGCGAGCAGCAGCAGTGCTTTCAGCTTGTTTGTGGCGTCTTCAGGAGGCCCCGTGTGTCAGTCCCCTCAGGCAGCTGCTGCTGCTCTGATCAACAATACGGTGGCAGAACAAAGGATGCCCCCCTCCTCTTTAGTGTTAGAGGAGGTCCTTCCTTCCTTCAGGGTTTTCTCAGCTGTCTGGATGCTCTGGTTTGTTCTGGATCGCACAAACCAAAGTTGAAAATGGCATAAATAAGAGCAAACTCCCCGAGGTTGAGGGATAAAGGCTACAACACAGAAATCTTCTTAGGTCAGAATGAACTTTCAGCATCATGGCATCACCTGTTTCTGACAGATTACCTCTCCTTTGGTTAGAAATTAAAATACTGGGGCAGTGAGGCGTCTATACGCATCGAACTTAACGATGACAGATCCAAATGTCGAAGCCCAATGTGTCTTTTCTCTCTTGTATTAAGTCCCAGTAGAAGCAGGGTGTGGGAGAGTCAGGCCAGCATGACGTAGTTCTCGGCGATCTCCAGGACGTAGAGGTTGGAAAGCCCCGACGGGTCCTCGCTCTGATGAGTTTCTAAAAGGACCATCCTGCGGCGAAAAGGTCACGTGTCAAACACTGATCAGCACAAAAAAAACACAAGTTCTATTAAATAAGACCTGAAACTACCATTTGAGAAGATAAACATCAGGAAAGTGTTTACTGATTAATTACAAATTAAATTAGCAGCAGCTTCAACACACTCAGACTCACCACCTGCTGGCCAATAAGCAGAATGCATGCTTTAATTTATAAAGTACTTATTGTAGGTAACTGCGTTTATAATACTTTAAAACCTTTCAAACTGAATGAAAGCAAGTTAAATCAACAGGATGGGACTTGAACTCCAAAACATCCATGTACGCACACGTCAACTGAAGTTCAGTTAAAATAGGTCCAGGCAGTACTTTCTTGTTATGCTCATTTGTACCACATGGTGGCGCCTGTGAGTCAGTGTAGAATCCAGTCTGCCCTGAGCTGTGCCTTTAGGGTGCATCCATCCTTTATGTACAGTCTAGACTGCAGGTGCTTTTTTTATCCACAGAAAATTCAAAGCGAGGACGTGCTGTACCTGTCGGACTGCACGAGTCTGTGGGTCTTCCTGTGGTCCGTGATTTCCTCCAGCATTTCCGTGAAACCTTTTCCTCTCCTCAACCAGCCGTGACGCCACACTGCCAACAGCGTGTCATCAAAATACACTGTACAGACAAACAAGAGTCAGTGCTGAGCCTTCAGCGTCTCCGAAATTCACCATAACCAGGGTCTCACTCCTTCCTCTCACCTATAGATTCAACATCTTGAGAGAAGATGGTCTCAGAGTGCTGCGTTCTGCCGCTCTTAAACTCCCCATCAAGACCAACTATTTGTACCGACCCTGTGGAGGAGAGAGGGGCAGTGTTTGTGTTAGAATATCTCTGTGGAAATATGAAGGTAGACAGCATTATGGTGCTCAAATCATAACGAGGAGTTAAAATAGTCCTTAGGCAACATAATAAATATCTGGAGCTGTTTTCAGGTTAGTCAGACTGAAAGTAACTCAGAAAGGCTCAAAATTTCTTTGTATCTGAGCTTTTAAGACAAATAAATTATCAGTATGTCAGAATCAACACGGCACCATAACATCATTATAGCAGTGCTCTCCTTAAGAGAGCGGACAGGTTAATATGAAAGACAACCACTCAAAACTGGCTCCAAAGGCGAATTATCTGCCATGTTGGTCGCTTTAACAAAATGAACAAGTTGCAATCCAGCTGTGTCAGTTTGCACAGATGGGAGCATCTTTATTCAACGTGCTGTATCTGGTTATAATCCCATTTGAAATGAAGGTTGCAGAGAGCCTTCGTCATTCTGTATCTGATTTACAACAGATTTGTGATTTTGTTTGATTTGATTGATGCTGCTTTATTACAGTTATATATTCCATATTACAGATGTGATTTAAATGCCAACCTGATCCCATTCAATCACAAACCAATCACAGACTGTTTGCTGGTTATTTGCCCTTTCATTGGCATCTTGATGCACCGAAGTCACTTTGAATACAGGGAGTAGTCACAGTGATGGCACCCGACCCAAGTAAACATTTCAAACCCGACAAGATTACACGTGCACTACACACAGGGACAGTAACTTTGATCGTGCTGGTTTAATAAACACCCACATGGCAGCAGTCAGAACTGTAAGAATGAAGTTTTAAAGTGTGGAATTCAAATTCAACAAACGCAGGCCTCTTTCTGAAGACAACAAAGTTTAGTGTGATACTTACTTTCCAAGAGGACGAGCAGCGAGTTATTGTCCAGCTGGTTTACTTGGACTACTTCTGGACATGGTCTCTCTGTAAGAGCAAACACCGCCACCATTAACAACAACAACAACAACAACAACAACAGCAC